AAATGAACCCAAGATGAACCCAGTGTTCACAAAATGAAGCCAAAATGGTCACAAAAGAAAAACTACTGACAGAGTTAGTTACACCCAAGATGAACCCAAAATTGTCACAAAATGAACCCAAAATGGTCACAAAATGAACCCAAGATGAATCCAAAATGGTCACAAAATGAACCCAATATGGTAAAAAACTGAACCATGATGAGCCCAAAATGGTCAAAAAATTAACCCAAAGGTTCACAAAATGATCCCAAGACGAACCAAAATGAACCCAAAATGGTCACAAAATGAACCCAAAATGGTCACAAAAGAAAAACTACTGACAGAGTTAGTTACACCCCAAGATGAACCAAAATGGTCAAAAAAGGAACCTGAGATGAGCCCAAAATGGTCACAAAATGAACCCAAAGGTTCACAAAACAAACCCAAGATGAACCAAAATGAACCCAAAATGGTCACAAAATGAACCCAATATGGTCAAAAAATGAACCTGACATGAACCAAAATGGTCACAAAATGAACCCAAGATGAACCCAAATGGCACAAAATGAACGCAAAATGATCCCAAGGTGAACCAAAATGGTCACAAAATGATCCCAAGGTGAACCAAAATGGTCACAAAATGCACGACCTCTCGCGGGGTCTCTCACTTTTATAAGTTCTGTTCCATTTGTATGTTGGAGTTAATTATCCAATTACAGCTTTAGGGTATGAATTCCCATCCTTCTTTTTTTTCTCTCCTCAATTCACCATTATTTATGCTCTTGGGCCTGAAATTTGGATCATTTCTCCTTGGTCACCAGCTAGAGCAGGAATTGTTTTGTCTCCCTACTATGAACAGAGCTCACCATCCCATAATATGAAACCCACACCCACTAAAGCAACACAAAATGTGAAAAACGCCTCAGACCTGAGGCTTTGACGTGTCTGAGGTGTCACTTGTGCTCTCCTGGGGCTCTTCCAGGTGCAGGGAGGTGCCCGGCCCCACCTGGCGCAGCTCCTGGCTGTGAGGAGTTTGTTCTCGGGCTCTCTGCTGGTCCTCAACAGGCTCCAGGTGGATCACGTGGTGAGTTCAGGGGTTCACCTGCCCAGGTGTGCCCCAAAACCAGCCCAGGGAAAGCTGCAGAGGTGGCCTGGGCTGGGCAGGGGGGGATCCCCATCTCTGGGTTGGGATCCCCATCTCTGGTTTGGGATCCCCATCCCTGGTTGGGATCCATCATTTCAAGGAGGGGGTCAGAGACGTTGGGCATTGATTTTATTCCCAATCCACTCCTGCACCGGGAGCAGGGCACCTGGCTGGGTGGGAAGGTGGGTGAGCGGAGCTGCAGCCACCCCCGGGTCCCCCCTTGTCCCGCAGAGAGCCCTGAGCCAGGTGCTGTTCCTGACCCCTCACCTGCCGGCCTTCGTCCTGCGGCGCCGCCTGCGCAGCCACGTCCTGGAGATCCGGCAGCTGGACCGCGCCCTGCTGCACCTGGGGCTGGGGCAGCTGTCCGAGGAGGAGCTGCGGGCGGTGAGCACGGCTGTGCCAGCCGCGGGCACCTCAGGGGGCACCTGGGGGCACCTGCAGGGCGTTGGGGCACCTCACGGGGCACCGGGACTGCGCCCTGCTGCACCTGGGGCTGGGGCAGCTGTCCGAGGAGGAGCTGCGGGCGGTGAGCACGGCTGTGCCAGCCGCGGGCACCTCAGGGGGCACCTCAGGGGGCACCTGGGGCTGGGGCAGCTGTCTGAGGAGGAGCTGTGGGCGGTGAGCATGGCCTAGCACACCTGTGCCAGCTTGGGGCACCTGGGGTGGCACCTGGGGTGGCACCTGGGGGCACCTGGGGCTGGGGCAGCTGTCCGAGGAGGAGCTGCGGGCGGTGAGCACGGCTGTGCCAGCCTGGGGCACCTCAGGGGGCACCTCAGGTGGCACCTGCAGGGCTGTTTCCACATCTCCCTGTCCTTGAGGGGGTCCTGGTGGGTGCTGGGTGTCTGTGTGTCCGTCTCTGACCATGTCTGTGTGTCCATCCCTGACCGTGTCCGTGTGTCCATCCCTGACGGTGTTCGTGTGTCCGTCCTGACCGTGTCCGTGTGTCCATCCCTGACGGTGTCCGTGTGTCTGTCCCTGACGGTGTCCGTGTGTCCATCCCTGACCGTGTCCGTGTGTCCATCCCTGACGGTGTTCGTGTGTCCGTCCTGACCATGTCCGTGTGTCCATCCCTGACCGTGTCTGTGTGTCCATCCCTGATGTGTCTGTGTGTCCATCCTGACGGTGTCCGTGTGTCCATCCTGACCGTGTCCGTCTGTCCCCAGGCCTGTTACCTGCGTGGGCTGAACTCCACTCACCTGGGCCGGGCGCAGTGCCAGGCGTGGCTGGAGCAGTGGCTCAGGCTCTCCTGCCAGCTCCAAGGTACCCAAAACCTTCCCTGGGCACGGGGGTGGCACTGCAGGGGTGGCATTGTCACCATCGGGGCTCAGCCCTGTCACCTGTGCAGAGACTGTGCCCGTGTCCACCCCTGTGCCCATCCCAGTGCCCATCCCAGTGCCCATCCCAGTGCCCATCCCAGTGCTCCCCAGTGCCTCCCTATACTCATCCCAGTGCCAATCCCAGTTCTCCCCCCATGCCCAGCCCAGTGTTCCCCAGTGCCCATCCCAGTGCCAGTCCCAGTGCTCCCCAGTGCCCATCTCAGTGCCCCCAGTGATCCCCAATGCCCATCCCTGTGCCCATCGCAGTGCTCCCAATGCCCGTCCCAGTATTCCCCTGTGCCCATCCCAGTGCCAGCCATGCCCATCCCATTGCTCCTTCCATGCCCAGCCCAGTGCCCCAAGTGCCCATCCCAGTGTTCCCTCTATGCCCATCCCACTGCTCCCCCTGTGCCCATCTCTGTGCCCATCCCAGTGCTCCCCATGCCCATCCCAGTGCCCTCCATACCCATCCCAGTGTTCCCAGTCTGCCAGGTTCCTATCTCAGTGCTGCCCAGTCCACCCAGGGCCCATCCTGTGCCCATTCCATCACCCCCAATGTCCCCCAGTGCCCCCCAGTGCCACTCCCCTGCCAGTCCCCTCTCTCCCAGTGCCACTCCCACCCCAGTCCCAGCCCCTCCAGTGCCCCCAGTGCCAGCCCCAGCTCTCCCAGTGCCCCCCCAGTGCTGCCCAGACCACCCAGAACCCCCTCCATGCCCACTCCAGCACCCCCAGTGTCCCCCAGTGCCACTCCCACCCCAGTCCCAGCCCCGCCCAGTGCCAGCCCCAGCTCTCCCAGTGTCCCCCAATGCCACTCCCACCCCAGTCCCAGTGTCCCCAGCCCCCCCAGTGCCCCCCAGTGCCTCCATCCTGTGCCTACCCCAGACCCCCCAATGTCCCCCAGTGCCACTCCTGCCCCAGCCCCAGCTCTCCCAGTGCCCCCAGTGCCCATGCCGGTCTCTCCCAGTGCCCCCAGTGCCACTCCCACCCCATCCCATGCCCCCCCCAGTGCGCCCCCACGCCAGTCCCTGACGGTGCCCCTGTGCCCCCGCAGCCTCGGAGGCCTCTCTGCTGGCACACAGCCTGGTCCTGCTGGCCCTGGAGCCGTGCCAGCCCCCGAGGGACAGCCCTGCGTGACCGGAGGGTGACAGGGTGGCACCTGTCCGTCCTCCCCCCAGCTGGTACTGCCGCAGTGACTCAGAGGTGACAGGGTGGCACCTGTGTGTCATCCCCTCCAGGTGGTACTGCCATGGTGCCCTGAGTGAGCGGGCAGTGACAGGTGACACCTGCACGTCCCCCCCGGACTGTGCTGCCATGGTGCCCTGCATGACCAGAGGGGTGACAGGGTGGCACCTGTGTGTGCCCTCTCCAGACTGTGCTGTGACAGTGACCCAGGGAGGGTGGCACCTGCCTGTTCCCCCACCCCAACTGGTGCTGCCACAGTGCCCTGAGTGACCCGGGGGGTGACAGGGTGGCACCTGCGTGTCCCACCCCCACCAGACCGTGATGCCATGGTGCCCTGTGTGACCCAGGAGGTGATAGGTGGCACCTGCGTGTCCCCCCCAGACCGTGCCACCATGGTGCCCCCAGTGACCCGGCAGTGACAGGGTGGCACCTGCGTGTCCCCCCCAGACTGTGCTGTGACAGTGACCCAGGGTGGCACCTGCGTGTCCCCACCCCAGCCCGGGCTGTGCCCCCACTGTGCAGCCCCTGGCACAGTTGGCACAGCTGGCACAGGCGGTGGCTGTGCTGGTCAGTAATTAACTGTGTCTCGTTAATTGTGGGGAGAGAGAGCGGCTCCCAGAGCTGGGGGGGTGTTCTGTGGGACCTGATGGAGCTTCCTGTGGGATCTGCTGGGGGTTCCTGTGGGATCTTCTGGAGGTTCCTGTGGGACCTGATGAAGGTGCCTGTGGGACTTTGTGGATGCTTCCCATGAGATCTTTGAGATGTTCCTGTGGGATCTGCTGAGTGTTCTTGTGGGATCTCCTGGATGTTCTCATGGGACCTGCTGGGTGTTCCCGTGGGATCTGCTGGGTGTTGTCATGGGTTCTTCTGGATATTCCCCTGGGATTTGGTGGATGCTTCCCATGGGATCTTCTGGGTGCTCCTGTGGAATATTCTGGATGTTTACGTGGAATTTGGTGGATGTTTCTGTGGCATCTGCTGGAGGTTCCTGTGGCATCTGCTGGAGGTTCCTGTGGGATCTGGTAGGTGTTCCTGTGAGAACTTCTGGAGCTTTCCATGGAATTTGGTGGAGGTTCCCATGGGATCTGTTGGTTGTTCCTGTGAGATCTTCTGGGTATTCCCATGGGATTTGGTGGATGCTTCCCATGGGATCTTCGGGATGCTCCCGTGAGATCTTTTGGATGTTCCTGTGGGATATTCTGGATGTTTACGTGGAATTTGGTGGATTCCCATGGGATCTGCTGAATGTTTCTGTGGGATCTGCTGGAGGTTCCTGTGGGATCTGGTAGGTGTTCCTGTGAGATCTTCTGGAGCTTTCCATGGAATTTTGTGGATGCTTCCCATGGGATCTTCTGGATGTTCCCATGAGATCTTCGGGATGTTCGTGTGTGATCTGGTGGGTGTTCCCATGGGATCTCTTGGAGGCTCCTCTGAGATCTGCTGGATGCTTCCCCTGAGATCTATTGGATGTTCCTGTGAGATCTTCTGGAGCTTTCCATGGAATTTGGTGGAGGTTCCCATGGGATCTATTGGATGTTCCTGTGAGATCTTCTGGAGCTTTCCATGGAATTTGGTGGATGCTTCCCGTGGGATCTTCTGGATGTTCTTGTTGCATCTTCTGGAGGTTCCTGTGGGATCTGCTGGATGTTCCTGTGGGATCTCAGGATGTTCCCCTGGGATCTGGTGGCCCTGGCTCCCTCCTGGACACTTTTCCCGTTTCTTTTCTCCTCTGAACAGTCTCAACTGTCCCGGCCCTCCCTCAGGGGTTGAGCAGCGCCCTGGAATTCCCACCGACCCCCCCGGTCCTTGTGGGATCTCCTGGAGCCTTCTGGGGGTTCCTGAGAGAATTTGGTGTTTTCTGAGATGCTTTTGGGGTTCCCTGAGATCCTTTTGGGGTCTCCGGGGTTCTTTTTGGGGTCTCCTGAGAACTTTTTGGGGTCTCCTGAGAGAATTTGGGATTTCCTGAGAGTTTTTTGGGGTTTCCTGAGAACTTTTTGAGGTCTCCTGAGATCCTTTTGCGGTTCCTTGAGATCCTTGTGGGGTTTCCTGAGAACTTTCTGGGATTTCCTGAGAACCTTTTGGGATTCCCTGGGAGCCTTTTGGGGTTTCCTGAGATCCTTTTGGTTGTCCACCTAAATATTTCCCTTAAATTCCACATTTTTGGGAATTTCAGAGCCCCTCCCCTTGAGAAATTCACATTTTTTCACCACAATTCAATTTCATTTAACCATTTTTTTTGGTTTTTCCACTTAAATATTCTCCTTAAATTCCACATTTTTGTGAGTTTCAGAACCCCCTTTAATGAATTCACATTTCAGCCATAATTCACGTCTAATTTTACCAATTTTTTTTGTTTTTCCACTTAAATATTCCCCTTGAATTCCACATTTTTGTGAATTTCAGAGCCCCCCTTGAATTCACCATTTTCAGCCAAAATTCAATCTAATTTAACCATTCTTTTCATTTTTCCACTTAGATATTTCCCTTAAATACAGAATTTTTTGTGAATTTCAGAGCCGCCCCTTGAGAAATTCACTTTTCAGCCACAATTCACGTCTAATTTTACCTTTTTTTAATGTTTTTCCACTTAAATATTCCCCTTAAATTCAGAATTTTTCAGGAAAAAGGAGCCCGTTGTTAAATTTCCCATTATTTGTGGATATGGTTGGGAAAAAAATAAATTGTAAAATATTGAAGAGAAGCTTTGTATTCCCAAAATTTGGGAAAATAAAAATGAAAAATGAAAAATGAAAAGTGAAAAATGAATGGGGGTTGGAGGAATTTGAGGGGACCTCTGGATTTTGGGGGGCAGGGGGGACGCAAGGAGAGGATCTGGTGGATTAAATCAAATAAAAATTATTTTAAAATGGAAAAATGTCCTTGAAATGACTGAAATCTGGTAAAAGGGAATGAATTCTGGGAGGTCTGGGGGGGTCACATCTGGGGACACATCTGGGGTCAGATTTGGGGTCACAGCTGGGGTCACCCCCAGGACAGGGTGGGGGAGCAGGGGATCCGTGGGGATCAAAAATACCGGAAAACCGGGATTGTCACCCTCAATCCTGTGTCACCCTCAAGCCCTGTGTCACCCGTTTGTCACCTCCCAACCCTGTCACCCCTCAGCCCCGTGTCACCTCTGAGCCCTGTGTCACCTCTCAGTCCTGTCACCCCTCAGTCCTGTGTCACCTCTGAGCCCTGTGTCACCCATTTGTCACCTCCCAGTCCTGTGTCACCCCTCAGTCCCGTGTCACCCCTCAGTCCTGTTTCACCTCCCAGCACTGTCACCGGTAAGTCCCGTGTCACTTCTGAGCCCTGTGTCACCTCCCAGCCCTGTCATCTCTCAGTTCTGTGTCACTCCTTTGTCACCTCCCAGCCTTGTGCCACCCCTGTGTCACCTCTGAGCTGTTTGTCACCCCTCAGTTCTGTCACCCCTCGGTGCCGTGTCACCTCCCGGCCCTGTCCTCTCTCAGCCTCTGAGCTGTTTGTCACCCCTAAGTCCTGTGTCACCTCTGAGCCCTGTGTCACCCATTTGTCACCTCTCAGCCCCCTGTCACCCCTCAGTCCTGTGTCACCTCCCAGCACTGTCACCGGTAAGTCCCGTGTCACCTCTGAGCCCTGTGTCACTCCTGTGTCACCTCTCTGAGCTCTTTGTCACCTCTCAGTCCTGTGTCACCCCTTAGTCCTGGTCACCCTTCAGTGTTGTGTCACCCCTCCCAGCCCTGTGTCACCTTTGAGCTGTTTGTCACCTCCCAGTCCCGTGTCACCTCTGAGCCCTCTGTCACTTTTGAACTCTTTGTCACCCGTCAGTCCTGTGTCACCTCTGAGCCCTGTGTCACCTCTTAGTTCTGTCACCCCTCAGCTCTGTGTCACCCCTGTCACCTCTGAGCTCTTTGTCACCCCTCAGCCCTGGTCACCCCTCAGTCCTCTGTCACCCGTTTGTCACCTCTCAGTCTTGTGTGACCTCTCAGCTCTGTCACCTCTGAGTTCTGTGTCACCCTGTCACCTCTCAGGCCTGTCACCCCTCAGTCCTGTGTCACCTCTGTGCCCTGTGTCACCTGTCAGTTCTGTCACCTCCCAGCCTTGTGTCACCCCTGTGTCACCTCTGAGCTCTTTGTCACCCCTCAGTCCTGTGTCACCTCCCAGCCCTGTCACCTGTGTCACCTCTGTGTCACTTCTCACCCCTGTGTCACCTCTCAGCCCCGTGGGACCCCTCAGTCCTGTGTCACCCGTTTGTCACTTCCCAGTCCTGTGTCACCTCTCAGTTCTGTCACCTCCCAGCCCTGTGTCACTCCTTTGTCACCTCCCAGCCTTGTGTCACTCCTGTGTCAGCCTTCAGTTCTGTCACCCCTGTGTCACCCCTGTGTCAACTGTCAGTTCTGTCACCTCTGAGCCCCATGTCACCTCCCAGCTCTTTGTCACCCCTCACCCCTGTGTCACATCAGCCCTGCCACCGCCTCCTGGGGAGTGACAAAGGGACAGTGCCAGCCCTGTGCAGTGGCACAGGGACAGTGCCGTGCTCTGGGTGATGGCACAGGGACACTGCCAGCCCTTGAGTGGCACAGGGACAGTGTCAGCTCTGGGTGACGACACAGGGACAGTGCCAGCCCTGGATGGTGGCACAGGGACAGTGCCAGCCCTTGAGAGGACACAGGGACAGTGCCAGCTCTGGCAGTGGCACAGAGACAGTGCCAGCCCAGGGAGTGGCACAGGGACAATGCCACCCTCCAGGGCAGAGCCAAAGGTGCTGGAAGGAAACCAGAAAATAAAACAGGAATTCTTTTCTTTCTTTGCTTTGCTCTCTTTATTCTAGCTCTTAAAAACTGCCAATAAAACATTAAAAATTCAAATATCCCCAATTCAATTAAAAAATTCAATATCCCCAATTCAATTTAAAAATTCAATATCCCCAAATATCTTCAGTGCCGTTCCCCAAGCAAAAAACAGAACAGAAAGCAGCAAAAAGAACCGAAAGCAAAAAAATTCCCTCATCCATAAAACCACTTACGCCCACCCCTAAACCCCTCCTAAATCAATAAAATTAAATTAAATTTAATTGAATTGAATTGGATTGAATGGAATTGGATGGAATGGAATGGAATGGAATGGAATGGAATGGAATGGAATTGAATTGAATTGGATTGGATTGGATTGGGTTGAATTGGATTTATTGGAATGGAATGGAATTGAATGGAATTGAATTGAATTGAATTGGATTGGATTTAATTGAATTGCATTGCATTGAATTGAATAGAATCGAATCTAATGTAATCTAATGTAATCTAATGTAATCTAATGTAATGTAATCTAATCTAATCTAATCTAAAATTAATCTAATCTAATCTAATCTATAATCTAATCTAATGAATGGAATGGAATGGCATGGAATCTAATCTAAAATCTAATCTAATCTAGTCTAATCTAATCTAACATAATATAATCGAATCTAGTATAGTCTTGTCTAATTAATCTAAACAATATAATCTAGATTGTTTCTAGTCTAATTAATCTATCTAATCTAATCTAATCTAACCTAATCTAACCTAATCTAATCTAATCTAACCTAATCTAATCTCCCATGTCTAATAGAGCCTTAAATGTGCCAGCGAGTCCCAGTCCATGAT